GGCCGAGCAGCTGCATCCAAGCCGCACATCACCAAGTGCAATGCAAAGCGTGGGATGCCGCGGTGTAAAGCACGCTGCCACTGGACTCTAGAGAAGAGGAGGCGTGTTCTCTGGAGGAACCAATCACGCTTCTCTGTCTGGCGATGGGCGTGTCTGGGTTTGGCGGTTGCCTGGAGAACGGTACTTGCCTGACTGCATTGTGCCAAGTGTAAAGTTTGGGGGAGGGGTTGTGTTTTCAAGGGTTGGGCTCCGCCCCTTAGTTCCAGTGAAGGGAACTCTTAACGCCTCAGCACACCAAGACATTTTGGACAATTTCATGCTCCCAACTTTGTGGGAGGAGTTTGGGGACGGCCCCTTCCTGTTCCAACATGACTGCGCACCAGTGCACAAAGCAAGGTCCATAAAGACACGGATGGGGGAGTTTGGGGTGGAGTCCTGACCTCAACCCCATAGAACACCTTTGGGATGAATTAGAGACGGAGACTGCGAGCCCCTCCCCCAACATCAGTACCTGACCTCACAAATGGTCCAACATTCCCATAGACGCACTCCTAAACCTTGTGGACGCCTTCCCAGAAGAGGCGGAGCTGTTATAGCAGCAAAGGGTGGAGCCAACCCAATACTGAATCCTACGGACTAAGACTGGGATGCCATTAAAGTTCATGTGCGTGTAAAAGCGGGACGCAGTGTCCAGTCCAGTGTATAACTGGACTGTGCTGCAGCAATGTGGACTCCTTCCCATGTGACCGGTGTCCTGTGCACTGCCTGCCGTGGTGGAAATTGAGGACGCAGTGTCCAGTCCAGTGTATAACTGGACTGTGCTGCAGCAATGTGGACTCCTTCCCATGTGACCGGTGTCCTGTGCACTGCCTGCCGTGGTGGAAATTGCTGCACGTGTGTACAGGTCCTCAGGTGGGTCATGAAGTGATTGCAGTGTCCTGAAGAACACAACCAACTGGTCCTATCATTTATGAAATCGCACCATGATGTTCAGTTAGTAAAGCTGTGAGCTCAGTGGGCAAGGATCGGGGTTACCTTAAGGTGATGAGCTGTTGTGTATAGTTTGCCGCAACCATCAAAGTCGCATCGAAAGGCTTTCTCGTTTGTCTGCGGCGGTTTGGCCGTTACACGAGGCCCGTGACCTTGTAAAACAATCTGCGGAATAGGAAACAAGAACAAAATGTAAAAACGTCATATAAAAGTCCCATTATTACTATTCCTCAGATCAATAAATGTAACGTATTGTATAGCAGTGAGGGGACACGGGGTGGGGGTACGACATCCACGGGTCTTGAAAAATTTGAGGGTGTCTCGTCAGTAAAAAATGTCACCAGTCAGCATGACCGGACTGTAGCCTTGCAATTTATGTTAAACATTTTTAGTTACAGAGAGAGCTTTATTTTGGTGATATTTAATCACCACTGGGGGGGAGGGGGGGTTATTTTTACTATATAATGAAAAAAGTACCGTAAATTTTGAGAACATTTTTTTTTTTCCCTACGTTATGTTAAAAAATATTTTATTCTTACCCATATTTTTGGTAAAATATAAAAGACGAGGGTCACGTCGGTTAAATTGACACCGCACATGCCAAGCCTTAAAATTGCGCACTGTCCGCAAAATACGACCACACCGAAAATTGGCCGTAGGCGACGCTAACTGCTCATCAGTTTAGTGTTATCAGTGATTGATGGCCCTAAAATGATTGCTCTCATTCTGACGTTCGCGGCGATATGTAACATGAGCGGCGCCAGTGACGTTTTTGCGCCTAGGCGCACCCAACGCATGTTTGCGTGTGTATGTTTGGGGTCGGTGGACTTTAACCAGTTGACATCCGCGGTGTTAGACCCCCTTCCC